AACCTCAACGTCTACAACAAAAGTGTCAAAGATGCCACATGGTGTGACACGGATGGAGAATAACTTTACTGGGAAGCGGGCAGAATGAACAAAATGAAATGGGAACAAAATGTTCTCTCAGTTTAGCTTATGCTCCCAGGGCGAGACAAGAAACAAAATAATTTTTTTACATTATTTCATTAATAATGGTCATCAATACATGTGACTTCCATACCAGGCACAGACCTTCTCGCACCTTCAATTGGTTAGGTAACGCAGGCCACTGGATGATCAGAACACTTCCCCAAGAGGGTACAAGGAAAGTGACACGGGTCAGTACCCAATCTCCCCTCCATTATGCCCTGTTGCGGTGGGGGTGGGGGGGCACACCATGAGTGAGGTAAATACCTGAGTTGTGAAGAAGTGAGAGTTTGGAGATTGCCCCAGATTAAAATAACCCTCGCTACACTCAGTAGTACAGACTGACAGTACAGAACACCTCTCCAGTAGAAGGGGACGACGGGAAGCCAATATAGGACTTACCTGTTTTTTCTTTCCTCTGGTTAAACGTCGGGAGCTACGCAGCCCGTGGCAGCGACAAACCCACACGCAGGCTCCCGGAGAAGAAACAGCAGTGGCGGCGTCCGGGGTGGGGGAGGGCGGCGGGGGGAGGGGCCTGCGGCGGCACTCACTGGGCTTCAGTTCCTCCACCCACCGCCGCCCGGGCCTGCGGCCTTTACCCTTCCCTTCCTCACTCCCCCCACTTCCGGGTGACGCCCAGGCCGGAAGCAGGGCCTGAGATGCGGAGAGAAGGACGTGTCACGTCAAGGGGAACGTGAGCCCTAGAGTCAAGCTTCTCCCGCCCCCTACTGCCCGGGGCCTCACACTCAGCCTCGGGCTGAAATCTTTGGTGTGGCAGAGAGCCCGCCTCCCCCGTTCCATCACCAAAAACAAAACAAAACCCCACCAAAACCTGTGTCATGTGTGGTTTCCTAACCTCCCGCCAGAAAGTACCATAGACCTCCTGGTAATCATCTTGTACATAGGTCAGCCTGTCCTAGCATGAAATTAACGTGCTGCTGTTAGACTGTGTAGCCTAACTCCGGATGCAAATGCCAGAACTAGGAACTTGGATTCGTCCCTCCATTCAAAAACAATCTCAAAAGATTTTGACTTTTTATTCATGCTTTCCAATTCATAATCTTTATGTGTGAGTGCATTGGAGTTGGGGCAAGCATCGCCCCTCACACTTCCTTCATATCACCAACCTAAAGCTTTGAACCACTTGCCTATTTATCCATTCACTTGCCGATCTTCTTAAAAACCTAAAGGATTCCACGGATGTAAAAATATTAGACTGTCACCATGAGTTCAGAAAGAAAAGAGATGCATAAAATGTAGCAAGACAATGCAATAAATAAGCAATACAAAGAGAATTTGAGAAAAATATATTCTTTTAATCCTGTTTGCCCATTTTGACATTTAAAAAATGGCAAAATCCTAGGATTTTTAAAACTATGAACATTAAGAGGGACAGGCTCCTTCTCACTAAATTCAAAGTGAGATATGGTCTTTTCGTATTTCCTTTCATTGAATGTCATAAGATGTAGAGGGAAATTATATAGCCCCACATCAGATTCTCTGCTGTCAGTGCAGAGCCTGCTTGGGATCCTCTGTCCCCTTCTCCTTCTGCTTCTCCCCCACTTGCACTCTCTCAGAATTAAACATTAAAAAAACCCAGTTCCCATAAAAGTATCAAGTCTAATAATGTTGCCAAACTCATAATAGTACAAAAGGTATACATATTAAATTAATATTTGCAAGTCTTAGGAAAGTGGCACACACTAAGCATATTTAAATGTTGATAAACTAATTTCCAAACCACCTGTTGCCAAACTCCTATTAAGCCTTAACAGGCCACACTTAAAATCGGTCAAGATTTAAATTTTAGGCCTACGACCAAGTATTTCAGAAAGGATTATTCCTTCTCCCCTGTATACTCATACATTAAAAAATTATCTTTGGGGGTGCCTGGATGGCTCAGTCAGTTAAGTCTCCAACTTCAGCTCAGGTCATGATCTCACAGTTCATAGGTTCGAGAGCCCCACATCAGGCTTTGTGCTGACAGCTGGGAGCCTGGAGCCTGCTTCACATTCTGCCTCCCTTTCTCTCTGCCACACCCTGCTCCTTCTCTCTCTCTCAAAAATATATAAACTTTAAAAATTATCTTCAAGATTCCTAACCTTCTCAGCCATTAAGTTGTAACTGTCAGTGTGCACAACCTTAAGTCATAAATTCAACCCCAAATTTAAGATCTTAAAAATCACATCACATAAATTAAGCTTTTAAGTGCGCTCCCAAACATTGGTTTGTAACTACAATATTAACACTTGTGTTCAGCTTTCACAGAAATTCACTAAAGGGCAGAAATCATAAAGCTTTATCAGAGTATCAAATTTACCAGCTACTTTTTATGTAAAGTTTATCGTTATGAGCTGCAACTCTCTTTACCATCTACATCCTTAGCGACTGAGCCTTTCCCTTACTCTAAAACACCTCACATCTCTAAATGCATTATCCCTAAACCCCCTTATCAGTGCACAAGCATACCACCGTTCTTTTACAATTAGTATACTGAGCTTTCAAATAGAATGTCTTCAGGAAGTAATCAGGTTTTCTGGTGGTAAGCAGATAGTAGATGCCCCCAAATGCTTATAAAGTAGTATTAAGATTTCCTATAGTCACAAGGGGAAGAATTCAAATCTGTCCCTCCACAATTACCACTGTACGTAGTTCTAATTTAAAAGAACAGAAAACACTTGATAACATGATTTAAGGCCAAATTAATGGAATTCATTGATATTCACCCTAATTTAAAAAACACTTCCTGGCCTTCAACAAAAAAACATTTCAAGGATTGGTAATGCTTCTAGAGTTACTTACCTAAATTATTCAGATGTACAGCCTTTTGATAGGAAGACTAATTTGACAACCTTCCAACTAGATATTATCAAAACTTTCAGTGATGTTTTTCGGTAAATTGAGTGTGTTTGTGAGTGGATACACCTTTGGGTACACTAGAGATGCTGCAAGATCAGAACACTGTGATGACACAAACTAATTTAGACTTCTGCTTCATTTCTGGTACCAGCCATGGTAGTTTTGTTTTATATTATTTTTTATTTAATTTTGAGGGAGAAAAAAAAAAGAAAGAAATCGTGAGCAGGGGAGCGGCAGAGAGAGACGGAGACACAGAATGTGAACCAGGCTCCAGGCTCTGAGCTGTCAGGACAGAGCCTGACATGAGCTCACCCACAAACTGTTAAGATCATGACCTGAGCCTTAATCAGACGTTCAACCAACTGAGCCACCCAGGTGACATGGCCATGGTAGTTTTAGAATTATCAGGACAAGATTACGTACAAAATAAAGTTTTAAAAGTCTGTTCAAAAATGCCACATTTTATCACACAAAGCAACATAGATGTTGCCAAATGGACAAGTAGACATTTTTAAATGTCATTTTTTGCCTATAAGAACAGCTGACACTTACCTGATGAAGTGGCACAAATCAAATTGAAAATTACCTGTAGTCGTTAGTAATCCTCAATAAAAATTCAGTAATGAAGAGGTAAATAATCTAATAGAAAGTTAAAGCTTCCTTAAAGACATGTTTATTTTACTTCATCACATCTCAGGGCTACATGCAATTGTTTTTTTGTTGTTGTTTTTTAAATATTTTTATTTCTAGGAGAGAGAGAGAGACAGTGTGAGCAGGGGAGGGTCAGAGAGAGAGGGAGACACAGATTCTGAAATAGGCTCCAGGCTCTGAGCTGGCAGTCAGCAGAGCCCGACGCGGGGCTCGAACCCACTACCGCGAGATCATGCCCTAAGCGAAAGCCGGACGCTTAACCGACTAAGCCACCCAGGTGCCCCAGGGCTACATGCATTTGAACACTAGTCCTATTTTAACATTTTTTCTAAACATATAAATTTTTATCAAATATTGGCACTTTTAGTTACTAACCTGCAACATAGTTTGCAAAGATATTCAACTTATTTTTCCTATTCAAAAAATGAAATTACTTACTGCCTTTGGTGCATTTTGCCATGAGAACATTCAAGTATTTCATACAGCAGGTAAAAACTTTTATAATGTTGGGTTACACATACATCCTTATGTACATCAGGTAAATTCAGCAATTCCTAAAAGCCTCTTACCTGATAAGTTATTTTAGGTAACTGAATTTAGGAATCTCTAGTTTAGCTAACATAGATTACTCCACTGAAATTCCATTTTCTGCTTATTTGAGCACTATCAACAAACATGAGACTTTTTAATGCCTTCAGCCAAGGAATTAATGAAGCACCCATGTGCTCAAACATTACAAATGTTTTCTTCAGTTAGCATCTTACACATAAAGTCCAAAGTCATACTGAATTCAGGATAACACACGCATCAAAACTTGGTGTAATTATAGGATGCCTACAGCAGAGGTCACCAATAGTAGTTGGTTAAGTGACAATAAACTGTATTGACAAATCCTTTAATAGCATCATAAACATCCTAAATAAATACAATGAAAGATCCAAAGGTCTAGGATGAAATGTGCCAATGGAGCCAAGGAGCTAGCTAATCTTCAGACAGCCTAGGAATTCATTTGATAGGACCACTCTTCCCTTGGGTCTGGTGACATCCCAAGTTCTCTTGGCAGGAGTAAAAAGGACTTAATTCCAATTCCAAAAATATGCATAAATTAGAGGTAGAAAGTAGTAGGCATAATCAGTATCTGGGCACTCAAAGATGACTTAAAGTAACTCTGAGATCACTTATTCATGAACCAGAAGCCTACTGTAAAGCTGACTTCCAGGTGATAGCCAAATTTTACTTTCATACCACCTCATAAAGAAAAATTATTTACGAAATTGTAAAGCATCTGCCCTTAATAGTAACACAAAGGTTAAATAAGTGAAAAGGGATCAAGCTTGGTTTCATTACAAAAGAAACAACAAAATGACAACAAAGGCTTCAAATATACTTTATTTCTTCAATCAGGCCATATTTTAATGGGTGCTCAGTGCTTTTACTTGGCATCAATTATGAGTTGGTTTTGAAACAATTCATTATTACACCAGCTGGGATGATTACTGATCTCTCCATTCCTTTGGGGTGACTCTGCCAACAGGAGACAGGTTCCATTCTATTCCAATTTGTGTTGCTGTCTGTAAGAATTAAAATGCTATCAGTTATAAAAGTTTAAACCAGAGTCCACTCTCCCTTGGAAACCATTTCTTAGAAGTGACAAAGATATTCTGCTCTATAGGTTAAAAACACACAGAGCTGGGATATACAGCTCTATGTAGGCCATATATATCTCTGTATCTCTCTCTCTCTATATATATATCTATATTATCTCTCTCTATATATATCTATATATCTCTATATATACCTCTATGTAGGCCAAATCTAATTGCTGTCCTAATTCTCTAGAGCAATACTCTTCAATAGAACTCCCAGAGATGAAAGAAATGTTCTAGATTGTTGTCCAACACAATAGCCACATATGGTTATTGAGCAATTGAAATGTGGCTAATATGACTGCGCAATTGAATTTTTAATTTCATTAACTCAAATTTTTACTTCACATTTCTATAGTATCTCCTCAAAGCACTGCTTCACTCAACCACAACTACCTAAATACTGCCAAAGAGCACTTTTGTAATATCCTTTCATCAAGGAACACCACTCCAAAAGTGCCCCTGATCACACATTTGTTCAACATCTATTTACTCTTCTACTTAGACACATCTATTTTAATAGTATATTTAAGGAAGGTTAAAACAAGAATGAAAAAACCCCATTAATAAATATCTTTGTTTATTAAGGTTAAGGGTTGATACATATCTTTTTTTTTTATTTTTTTAAATGTTTTATCTATTTCTGAGAGAGAGATAGAGACAGCATGAGCATGGGAGGGTCAGAGAGAGACGGAGACACAGAATCCAAAGACAGTCTCCAGGCTCTGAGCTGTCAGCACAGAGCCCGACATGGGGCTCGAACCCATGAACCATGAGATCATGACCTGAGCTGAAGTTAGATGCTTAACTGACTGAGCTACCCAGGTGCCCTGGGTTGATACATATCTTTTAGGAACTTATATATTTATCCTACTTGTAACCAGCAAATGTATTAACAGGTAAACAGATTATTACATGTAAGATGTAAAAACTAAAATAGTGAAAGTAATTCACTTTTACATCTCATCCATCAAAAGTGCTCTTCTGAGGGCAGAATTTTAGAAGAAAAACTGATTAAGTAAAGGAAATTGACCCAAGATGGTGAAAACCCTGGAAACCAAGTAACAAAAAGTGATTAACAAAACTAAAGATGTTTAATCTGAAAGAGAAGATCCAGGAGATATGATGGCAAATTTCTATTATCCAATGGTAATACATGAATTTCTGTGGCATGAAAATTATGGGTAAAATATGAATCCCTAATGCTATGAAAGAAATTCCTGCACTGGGTGAGTAATTACATTAGAAAATCTCTGAAGTTGGGGTGCCTAGGTGGCTCAGTCAGTTGAGGGTCCAACTTCGACTCAGGTCATGATGTCACCATTCCCAAGTTCAAGCCCTGCATCGGGCTCTGTGCTGAAGGCTCAGAGCCTGGAGCCTGTTTCGGATTCTGTGTCTCCCTCTCTGTCTCTGCCCCTCCCCCATTTGTGTTCTGTCTCTCTCAAGAAAATGAATAAACATTAAAAAAATTCTTTCTACAAGTAACATCTCTGAAATCCCTCTGAACTAGAAATGTATCCTATTATGTGAAAACATTTTGAATACATGAACTAAATAGGAATGAAAATCATCTAATATAGAAAATTATCAATCAACAGTACTTACATAAGCCCATACAGCAACACAGAAAGTGGCTCCACTAGCTAATACAGCATTACCATATTTGTCATGGAAATCAGGTGTCCGTTTCTGATGACTCTGCCTTGCCATTGTTTGCTGAATGCTTTGAACTTAAAGGAAAAAAAAGAAACACCGAAGCGTATCTATCAATTATAAGGAAAAGAGAACATGTAATTCATATTGCCAATCAGGAAAGAAAAGTTAACTTTATAGTATGAAGCAGGTCAATAAAATGTTAAAACATATTGTAGCTAAACAAAAAGTAGTGTACTTTAAAATGCATCAAAAATAAGATAAAATGACAGATGTATAGATATGTGAGAAAACAGGGGTGGCTGAGTGGCCCAGATGGTTAATCATCCAACTTCAGCTCAGGTCATGATCTCACAGTTTAGGAGTTCGCCTGCTTTGGATCCTCTGTCTCCCTCTCTCTTTGCCCCTCCCCTGCTCACGCTCTCTTTCAAAAACAAATGTACATTCAAAAAAGAGATATGTGATAAAACAAATATATCAAAATATTAATTGTATCTATTAACATTAATTGTATCAATAATTAATTTGCATTGATTTGTAATTTGTGTGTGTTCATCATAGAATTCTTCCATTTTCTGTATGTCTGAAAATTTTTCATAATAAAATCTTGGGGGACAGGGTGTAACTGGGGTACTCAGTTGACTGAGCAACCAACTCTTGATTTCGCCTCAGATCATGATCTTGAGGTTTGTGAGTTCAAGCCCCATAGGGCTTGGAGCCTGCTTAGAATTCTTTCCCTCTCTCTCTCTCTGCCCCTACCCCACTTTCTCTCTCTCTCTCAAAAATAAACAAACATTTAAAAATTAAAATAAAATCTTGGGGGATAAAAAGGACAGGTGGTATCAGTAACATTCACTACAAACCTCTGGAACTTGGCTCTTATCCATTAACTTGAATGACTTACATTTTCACTAGAGTTTACCCTGCAGTGCTCAACAACTTACAACATAAAAAATAAACTCAAAATGAACTTTTTTTTTAATGTTTTATTTATTTCTGAGAGAGAGAGAGAGAGAGAGAGAGAGAGAGAAGAGAGAGCGTGAACAGGGGAGGGTCAGAGAGGGAGATACAGAATCTAAAACAGGCTCCAGGCTCTGAGCTGGCACAGCCTGACACAGGGCTCGAACCCACCAACTGTGAGATCATAACCTGAGCCTAAGTCGGACGCTTAACCGACTGAGCCACCCAGGTACCCCTCAAAATGAATTTCTAATTAAAGCACACTAAATGCTTATGACCTTAAAATTCCAAAAAGAAAAAAAACTAAAATAATCTTGATTTTTTTTCAAAAACTACTAATGAATACCTTGCTAAAAGAAATGGGGTATACGAAAATGTGTAAAACACAGATCCTGTCCTCAAGTAACCTCCAGTTTAGAGGAGGATATGGGACATATATACACAAATCACTGTACTACAAGGAAGTAGAATATTAGCTAAGCAGTTTGAACAGCAGGTAGGATTTTGTTATACAGATGTAGGAAAGGGTAATCTGAAAAAAGGCAAACAAAGAAAAGCCCAGGATACTTAAGAAAAAAAAAAAATTATGGCTGTGCCTGGGTGGCTCAGTCAGTTAAGCGTCCAACTTCAGCTCTGGTCATGATCTCACAGTTCCTGGGTTCCAGACTCGCATCAGGCTCTGTGCTGACAGCTCAGAGCTTAGAGCCTGCTTCAGATTCTGTCTCCTTCCCTCTGCCCCTCCCCAACTAATGCATGTGCATGAGTTCTCCTCTTTTTCTCTCAAGAATAAACAAACATTAAAAAAGAGAAAAAATGTGTAAAAAGTATGTTTGGTTGAAGGACAAGGTATACAGACAAGTAATGGGGGATAAAACTAGAAAGGATCATTGGTAGAGGCAAAGGTTTTTGACCAGAATGACATTAAAACTTTGCTTTACTATTTTATTAGAATGAGTTTTCAAATTGCCTCTGGAGGCACTTAAGAGTTTGGCAAAGAGCTGAGACTGGTAAACGCTTATTTCTGGATTTTTTTTTATTCCTAAGTAACAGGTCCTTACTGTTTTAGAGCCCCAAATGGTACTTATATAATTGTTGCCCATTCTCTAGCATTTAAGAATATAATAGCTTCTGTGTAGTACAATGGGTTATCTAAGGATAGTTATTTGACCATTAATGATTTCTCCTCTTAAACTGCCTTACAGGTTTTCTTGTTCACCTTTAGATACACTTGAGATGAGCAAATTTACAAACGTGTCACTATATATTTTGTTCTAGAGCAGTTAAAAAGTGAGTGTGTGAATTCCGCATTGGAAAAAAAAAAAACAAAAAATTCCCTTTCTTGAGGTACAAGGCCATACCAGCTCAAAGGGCAAATAAATTAAAATTACCAAACAATTCTGCAACACCTCATGACTTCAACATTCAGGTAACCCAAGTGGATTTCTTTAGACCTCTCCTCTGAAACAAGAAATGGCTTAGTTACCACCTATTGGTAATCTCATATAATCCTCAACAATGGAGTTAAGTAGAATTATATGTTAACACCCTATTTTACAAAGGAGGAATATGAGGTCCAGAAAAATCATTTGCCCAAAGTGAAAGGGATAACAGACATGGCTTTTGGAATACTGAAAGCCAGTTGGGCAACTATTCTTTTGGTTGTCAAAGCTGCTTCAGTGTTTAGAACACAATCTACTAATACTCCTAAAAGACTCTATAAACTGAAAATAAAAAGATGGCTCAAAAAGCAATACGGTAATTGCTTAAAGTCACTTTCAACCTAAAACAAATGCTCACATTAGTCAAGGTCACCTTCACTGCAAATCAAATACGGAAATGAATTTTCACTCCCCAATGTAATACATTCTCAATACGTAAGGCTGGTCTCAAAGCTTCCTGTACCTGCCTAACTTTCAGACAAGAAAAAAAATTACAATTGCTTTAGAATAAGCTAATATTCATCTACTAACCCACGAACTACATAAAAGCTGCAGGGCCACCATTTAGGTTCTCCTTGCAATGAAACCATGAGGAGGAGCTAAATTTACAATTTCCTTCCACAGTTACAGGAACTGGGAGAGGAGGTTCTTCTCTTTCAGGGTAAATGCATCCTCAAAGCTAAAACTTACTAAATTACTGAAGGATTACTTGGATTAGTATCCACCAAGGGCCTTCTTCCCTAAAATTGTGTTTAATTGAATAACAAAAAACAAAAACAAAAACAAAAAAACAGGGGCTGCTTTGACTCTGGTAACAAAGAGTGAGCTAGGAACCAAATCAGAAACTCTGCGTGATTAAATCAATGCTAAACTCAGCTTTCCAATTACTTGGGGCGAGGTGGAAGACTGCGCATTTAGCATTAGAAAGTCGGGATGCAGGAGAGAAAGGGCACGAGAAACCACGAGGCAAAATGGATTAAAAGCAGTTGGAATTTGTTCACAATTTTTGCTTACCTCGCAGACGACTTAGAGCGTTTCTGGCCATCGGAAACATCCTGAAGCTGAAGACAGAACAGTGCAACTCTAGCTGCTGACTTCCTAAAACCTGGGGGCCAAGTCCCCTTGCAAAGAGCCCTGAAAAACAAAATGGCTTTCTGCAGGACTCCTTAATGAGATTTAATGAAATCTCGCGAGATCTTAAAAAAAAAACCCAATAGAAATTGTAATTCTCTTTACAGACAGGAAGGAAAAAGGCTTTTTGGGAAATGTAGTTTCACGCTTTGTGAGTGGTGTACTATGGTATTTAGTGAAGAATTAGAGAATCCTCCCCTGTCCCCTCCTTGGAACCAGGTTTAGAGCTCCACGGAGGAGAGCTAAAACAGTGATTTTAGGCTGAGTCATCAAAGACACTAGCTTCTAGATAGTGTTTCAGAGGCCTTGAGCCTGTATCTCGCTCCACACTAGCAGTTCGTTTGAATCCCCCTAACTTATTCATTTCTCTAGTTTTTTGGTCTCCTATTACTACCTACTAGTTTGTTTAACTTTTAATTTTGAAATGATTTCAGATTTAGAGAAAAGTTGCAAGAATAGAAAAAAACTAGTAATATGTGGATAAATACGTCATAATTGATTATAGAATCTTGATAGTGAGTGTTCAGAGTACAGTTCTTTCACATTTTCTGTATGTTTGGATATTTTCATAATAAAATATGAAATATGTGGTGAGGGGAGAACTCCTAGAACACTATTGCCAAGGTTGCCAAGGTACACCACTTGGATAATATTTTGCCACAGGTGTTCGCTCTCTTTCTATATATATATACATATATAGATGTATGTATATATAGATGTACATATGTATATATATACATATATATATGTATATATAGGGGGCAGATTGGAACCATTTGAGAGTAACTTGCATACATCCTGTACTTTTACCTGTTAATATTTAGGGTTCATTTCCTAAGAGTAAGATATTCTCTTACATAACCATAGTACAGTTATCAAATTAAGAAATTTTAAATATTGATACAATACAGCTCATATTCCAATTCACCAATTGTTTTAGTGTCTGTATCCAAAATTCAATCCAGATCCCCATATTGAATTTAATTGTTGTGTGTCTTCAGTTCCCTCTAAAAGTGAATAGTTCTGGGGCGCCTGGGTGGCTCAAGTCGGTTGAGTGTCTGACTTCAGCTCAGGTCTTGATCTCACATCTTGTGGGTTTGAACTCTGCATCTGGCTCTGTGCTGAACGCTCAGAGCCTGGAGCCTGCTTCTGATTCTGTGTGTGTGTCTCTCTCTCTGCCCCTCCCCTGCTTGTGCTCTGCCTCTCAAAAATAAGTAAACATTAAAAATTAAAAAATAAAATTGAATAGTTCCTCTTTGTCTTTTGTGGCATTAATTTTTTTCTCACTACCAGTAACCTTTATTCTCTCAATTTTACATATGAAGAAAGTGAGGTGCATAATCCTTAAATGACCAGTAGAAGATCAAGATTAGTCAATTGTAAGTAGAAGAACTGGTAATGGACCTTCTGACTCCACAACACTGTGCTCTGTAATATTTTTTAAGGGTATAGGCCAGTTATTTTGTAAAAGTTCCCACAAATTGTGTGTGCTTGATGTTTACTCATGATTAAATTCAATTTATGCACTTCTGGCAGGAATATTACATAGTAGATGTGTCTTCTTAGGGCATCTTATCAGGAGGCATACAATGTCCCATAATTGTCTCATTATTGTCGACTTTAATAATTTGGTCCAAAGAGTGGCTTCCAAGTTCCTACACTAAAGTTATTGTTTTTTTTTAATTCTTTGTAATAAATAAGTAATGTGAAGAATACATTGAGACCTTAGGAATATCCTATTCTTCATCAAAATCTCACCCACTAGTTATTGTATCCATTAATGATTTTGCCTAAATAAATTATTAGCGTGAAAGTTTCAAGTGGTGATTTTCTAACGCTATCATTGCTTCTTTTTTAAAAAATTTTTTTAATGTTTTATTTATTTTTGAGAGACAGAGAGAGACAGTGTGAGGAGGGGAGGGTCAGAGAGAGATACAGAATCGGAAGCAGGCTCCAGGCTCTGAACTAGCTGTCAGCACAGAGCCTGAAGCAGGGCTCAAACCCAAGAGCACCCTAGAGCCGTGAGATCATGACCTGTGCCAAAGTCGGACGCCCAACCGACTGAGCCACCCAGGCGCCCCATCATTGATTCTATATTTTATAGTGAGTGTTCTACTTTAGGGAGGAATTTTATCCCCTCTTCCATTTTATTTGTTCATTATCAGTATGGATTTGTGGATTCAACAGTTATAGTCCATTACTATCATGATTTATCTTAATAACCAATAATGAACAATAGGGTTCCCTTCAAGCTGCTTTATATATATTTTTTACATGATTACATTATTTTTTTGACCACATGTTTATTTTCTCACACAAGATGTTCAAGGTTCATCTTGTCCTTTCCCTGCCACAGTACTGGAGCCAGCCATTTCTCTATGGAGCCCTAATTTTTTTAGAGATGTTATTTAGCAACATATTATTTGGCACCAAGTACACTCATTGATATGGGAGTGTCATTGCTTCTAGTCCTTTCAGCAAATAGAGCTAGGAATACATATTATGAATGATAAATTTATACTAATACCTCCAATGACAGTCCAATCCCCAAAAGTTCTTTTTTAGTTTCCATCCTTTCATATTTGTATCTCCCTTCTTCCATAGTGAGAATCCTGGCTGTCAATAACATCAGTGTTTATACATATTACATTATACACAATATATTTTCAGAATTGCTATACTCATATCACTATGAAAAACAAACCTACATAGTACAGTTCATGATTTGCTTGTAGAGTTTTTTCTCTTTAGACTAATGGTATATAATCAAACTCCTGTGTTCATAAGTTATTCAGATTAGTTTTTTATCCTCTAGTGTAGTTGTTTTTCTTTTTTTAATTCTTTAAATGTTTGTTTTTCTTTTTTTAATTCTTTAAATGTTTGTTTATCTTTGAGAGAGAGACCGAGTGCAAGTGAAGGAGGGGAAATGAGAGAAGCAAACCCAGAATCTGAAGCAGGCTCTGGGCTCTGAGCTGTCAGCACAGAGCTCAATGCAGGGTTCGAACTCATGAACCATGAGATCATGACCTGAGCTGAAGTTGGATATTTAACCAACTGAGCCACACAGGGGCCATTATAGCGTGGTTGTTTTACATTTGAAATAGTGTCAACCTCCCTTTTTTCTGTTTGTATTCAATTTAAGTTTTCCCACATTCTTACTGTTAAAATTTTTTCTAATTTATTTTATTTTTTAAATTATTTATTTTTTTAAAGTAAGCTCTACACCCAATGTGGGTCTCAAACTCACAACCCCAAGATCACAAGTTGCATGCTCAACTAACTAAGCCAGTCAGGCACTCCTCTAATTTATTTTTAAAGTTGTGGTAAAATATACATAGCATAGTATTTACCTTTAACAGGTTTTAAGTGTACAGTTTAGTAGCATTAAGTACATTCGCATTTTTGTGCAATCATCATCACTATTCATCTTTAGAAAGTTTTTCATCTTGAAAACCCAAATGATTTGGTTTTATAATTGGATTATTTTAGAAATATTCACATTACTGAAAGTCAAAACTATACTCCTCCTATAACTGTTCCACTCCATTTCTTCCACTTCCTATAGATAATCAATTTCATTAGTTTCTGGTTTAACATTTTCTGCATTTCCTTTTGCAAAAATGGGCAAATATGTGTATATTTTCTTATTTCCTCTTTTTACACAAATGTAACAAATATGTATATTCCTTTGTACTTTGGGTTTTTCTCACTTAACATTAGATCTTGAAAATCCATATCATGTACCTTTTTAAAAATTATATAACTGTGAAATACTCCACATTGTTTATGTATGTTGGAGGAGGTAATCGAGAGGACCTGACTGCTGGTTGACCTGTGAGCTGGATGCAGACAATCAGATACTCCTCACTCAAACCCCATTCTTAGAATGTACATTCTGCTTACTGTCTCCACAGTGAGAGCTATTCCAACACATAGCCTGAGAGTAAAGCTATTGTTGAAACCACTTGAACAGAATACACGACTGAAACCAGTTAAGGGCTCTATATAAACTTTTGAGATCTGGTGGGCAGGGTAGGAGTTCTATTCATTTTGCAGCTGCCCAAGATAAGCCTTGCAAGTAAGTTCCTTTGCTTATTAAAAACACAACCTGGGGCACCTTGGTGGCTCAGTCGGTTAAGCATCCGACTTCAGCTCAGGTCATGATCTCGGGGTCCATGGATTTGAGCCCCGCGTTTGGCTCTGTACTGACAGCTCAGAGCCTGGAGCCTGCTTCGGATTCTGTGTTTCCCTCTCTCTCTGCCCCTCCCCCACTCGCTCTGTCTCTAAAAATAAAATAAAGACATAAAAATTAAAAAAAAACACACAACTTAAGTGTCCATCGATAGATAAATGGATAAAGAAGATGTGTTACACACAGTGGAATAATACTTAGCCATAAAAAGAATTAAATCTTGCCATTTTTTAAATGTTTATTTATTTTGAGTAGGAGAGAAAGAGTGGGACAGCAGGGGAGGGGCAGAAGGAAAAAGGGAGAGAGAGAAAAAGTGCAAAGCCCAACATGGGACTCAGTCCCACAAACCATGAAATCATGACCTGAGCTGAAATCAAGAGTTGGACATTGAACTAAGTGAGCCACTCAGATGCCCTGAAATCTTGCCACTTGTGACAACACAAATGGACCTACAAGATATATACTAAGTAAAATAAGTCAGGCAGAAAAAGGCAAATACCATGTGATTTCACTTATATGTGGAATCTAAAAAACAAGCAAAACAAACGAACAAACGAAAAACAGAAACAGACTCATAAGGGGGGCCTGGGTGGCTTAGTCGGTTGGGCGTCCGACTTTCGCTTAGGTCATGATCTCGCGGCTCGTGGGTTCGAGCCCCGCATCGGGCTCTGTGCTGCCTGCCAGCTCAGAGCCTGGAGCCTGTTTCGGAGTCTGTGTCTCCCTCTCTCTCTGACCCTCCCCTGCTCACGCTGTCTCTCTCTCTCTCCTAGAAATAAATAAAAATTAAAAAAAAAAAAGAAACAGACTCATAAATACAAGCTGGTGGTTGCGGTGGGGGGGG